TTCTTCTCTCTCTCTCTCTCTCTCTCTCTACTGCTCCCTCCTCTCTCTCTCTAGGCACAGGGGACCTCTCTCTCTCTAGAAACAGGGGGATCAGGCGTCTGCCTTCGAGGAAGGAAGAGTGTCTTCTTCCGTTCAAGATTCTGTAACAGAGACGATAAGAGCTGGGGAAAGAGGCTATGGCAACCTCAGATCTGAGCTCACATCTCAAATCTGAAGCCGAGGAGTGACAAAAAAAGCACTTCTTGGTCTTACAAAGGCTCTTGCATCTGAGATGGCCCCTAATACAAGAGTCAATGCCGTAGCTCCTGGATTTGTACCAACGCACTTTGCACAGTTCATTATTGAAAATCAATCTACTAGGAAGGAAGTAGAAGCTCAGAGCTTGCTTGGGAGGTTGGGTACAACAAATGATATGGCAAGCGCAGTTGCCTTCCTTGCATCTAATGATGCTTCATATATATCTGGAGAGGTAGGTGAGGACTGAATCTTTGAGGGAGCAGCCAAAATTGTCGGCTCCTGCAATGATCTTGAAAGTTGGGAACTGGTTTTGAAATTTTCCGACCTCAGATCTGAGTCGAGGTTGGTGAGCTCAGATCTGAGCCGAGGAATCTATGGCTCTGATACCATGTTAGAATTCGTAGGAGCATACATACACAGACATTGAATGGAGAATGGAGAGAGAAGAAGAGAGAACGCAACATTTACGTGGTTTAGGCCGAAGCCTTACGTCCACGGATCCAAAGCCCAACGGCTATATCTTCACTATTTTGGATGAATGTTTACATCAATAAGTACCTCTATATATATAGAACAATCACACAATTACAGGATAAATATGGTATGATTCTTGGAGATAGAGGTAAATAGTAGGAGCCTTATCACAATACTAACTTGATGACCAAGATATATACCCATACATCCTAATAATGTTTATCAATATGAACCCGAGATATCCATATCCTAATACTATTTCCCCTCTATCAGAATCCAACTCCTACGTCCCCCCCTCTTTCCTCTCTTTTAACCATCTTCTTTCCATCCCCCCTTCCCTCCGCCCCTGGCATCTGCTTTGATAGAGTCTCATCACTCCTTCTCCCTTGCGTTGCAACGTCATCTTGGACAGGAGGATTTGAAGACCTACTACAACAATGAGACGGAACTGAAGTCCTACTTCATCTTTGAGGATGCACCATACAAAGAGCATATCCAAGTTGCAATCCCGGCTTCAGTATTTTCTTCTACCTCTCATCTCTCTTCTGTCTGCCCTCGTCTCTCTCTCTATTCTTTTTTTCTGCATTTTCTTCTCCTCTCTCCAATTGTATTTTGTTTTCTGAGCACCCAACTTGTGGGATGCCGTCTTTTGCTTCCTTCTTGATGTAATTCATTATACTATTAATACAAAGTTAACATTTTTCTCAAAAAAAAGGTACTCTCTCTCTCTCTCTATCTCTAGTGTAATGCAATCATCTCTCTCTCAAGAAAAAAGCTCAATGAGTATCATGAATTGATTAGTCTATACCTCTATATTGAGGTTTTTTTAAAGGTGCTTTGATAATAGGCAATTGTTGACGAATGCAGTATGCTCCATTATCTATGTTACACAGAAATCTATAGTGTGTTAGTATCGGGTATATGTATGGGTGTATGAAATGCTAATCTCATAATTGTCCTTTTAGACAGCTTGAAAATGTTAAAAAGATGTGTCTAAGTTTCCAAAGTGTTGGATATGGGTGCCGCTTCCTTATTGCATCAACATGCACAAAAAGCCAATGACATGCGTGCCCAGTTACATAGTTCAATATGATTACCGAAATTCTTTCTTTATTTCTTTTTAAGAAAAAAAAGCATCGTCTTTACCTCAATAAGAAGATCCCTCTTTAACTGTGAAATGGTATTACAGAAATTGTTGAAGAAGTTTAAGGGTAATAACCAATTAAGGGCTCCATATGAACTTTATCAGGGAGATTACTGTTAAAAACACCTATTTCATTAAAAAAAAAAGGAACCTGCCTTCTTGGGTGCAAATTGAATAAGATAACGATATTGAATTATGCTCCTATATAAAGTGTTTTTTTCTCATCTGAAAACTTTCTGAATTGATTCACACCTAAGGACATAACATATCTTGCATTACTGGTTGAACCATCGCTTTCTTCTTTCGAGGACTGGTTTTTTGAACAGTGTCCTATTGAGTTACGTAGTCATGCTAGTCTCTCTCTACTCCACCTCTAAGATGTTATGCTTTGGGTGATGTACGACATTATAGCCAAGGTTCTATGGAAGTTGTTTTTAGTGATGGACAATATATTATAATCCAATGGACTATAATGGGGTTAGCGCATCTGTGGTTACAGAGTTTTATGCCTCAACTTAACATCCTGTTCTCCAATCCCAACGTTAACATATCATAATCCAATAGGCTATATGTAAACCATAGTTAAATTGGGGTGTCAAATTCAATGGTACTGAGTTAAGTCTGATCCACCATAAGAGGGCATGATCTAGATGGTCGTCCCAGTCTCTCCCTATACACTGTCCATGATTCTTTCTTCAATTTAACAAAATGTTGTTCCTGATAAATAACTTCTGACTGATTATCAGGAAGGTATGGAAATTAAATCAAAATAAAGACCTTCCCAAGGCCAAACTGAAAGAGAGTGGGAAGAAATGGTAACATATCCTGACCTGAGTCTTTAATCTGGTATTTTCCAGGCCAGAAACTCTTATGGATGTGTTTGATTCAATGGGAGATATAGAAAGCATGCATAAAGAAACCAAGCATCTCTGGAAACCAAGTTCTCTGAAATGGGCAGAGAGATGTTATTGATTCTGTACATTCATGAGGACTCAAGCAGTATCGGTGATAGCTTTGTTCCTTTTTTGGTTGTCCATGCGAAGAAGGAATAATTAGAATACTCTAATGGAAATGGATAGGTGGATTCATATTAAAAGAAAAAAGAAATAAAAAAAGAAATGGATAGGTGGATTGAAATTTGAGATTCTCTGATGTTCATTGGTTGTCCTTGATGGTTAATACAAAAGACGTATTTTTAAGGTAAGCAGCGACTTGGTGAATTTTGACAAAAAAAGTTAAATTGATAATGCTGATGATATGAATTTTGTTGTGTTATCTGAATCTCTAACATATGTCTATGATATTATTTAGGTTTCATACTATTTCAAAAGCCAAGTGTCAATGTTATTGTGATCTTCAGAAGTCCTGTTCTGCAGGTGGATAGAAAAAGGTTTAAGTTTTTAATTATTTGTATGTATTTGTGTATACCATTGCCCACATTGGTTCTTACTTCTTGGTTTTGGATTATCTATACTTTGCAGGAAGTAGGATATACAGATGGGGATGTATTTATCAAACGAGTTGTTGCCAAGGAAGGGGATACTGTGGAGGTTCATATATCAAAAACATTAGTGTTGATGTTTGAGATTTAGTGCGTCTGATATGGGAGACCTACTAACAACCAATTACATTAGAACAAGTTTCTCTATTTTATTTCCTTTGATTAATTACTTCTACTGTTGAATAGAAGGGCTCCAACTGGTTTATCACATAATAGGGGTTATTAAGGAGCAAAATAATCCCCCATACTCAAGCCTTGATGCCTATATGCTTAATCATTGATGACAACAGGTGGCTTCCTTGTCGACATACCTTTCTCAGCCTTTTGGCTAAGATCAAGTTTAGTGGATCTCCTCAAAAATACATGCAGTACTTGCTAGCCTACTTAATGAGATTGTCGAGTGACATATTATCATAAAACTAGAACTTGACCAATTCATGTTTTGTTTATGTTGTTGCAGGTTCATGGTGGAAAGCTTATAGTTAATGGAGTAGAGCAAAATGAAGATTTCATTCTTGAGCCACCCACTTATGACATGAACCCAGTAGAATGCTTTCATCAAATTTTCCTTGAAATAACACTGTTACTAAACTCCTTTTTTTAGGGATACAGTATGGAGAGAGCATTGAAAGTACTACTGTTTTCCTTGTATCATTCCCACATAGAAAAGTCCATTCTGATTGTAACTATTGGGGAAAGCCAAAAAAAAAAAAAAAAAATTGTTTATATCCACATCAGCGTTTTACTGCATCGAATAAACAAGTGCTTGATGGCTTATATAATATTTCAGTTTTTTCTACTGTACAACTGTGTGTTTGCAAACTAATTATCTGCTCTAAATCTCTAATGCAGCATGTACCAGACAATTTTTTTTTTTGTAATGGGAAATAGCCAAAACAACATCTATGACTTGCATATATGGTAAACACAGAGTCAGCCCTTCACATGTCTTGAGCAATATCCTCCACTGTTGTTTAGTCTCCATATCTATGTCATTTTACAATTCCTTTATGGGAGAGGTTTCTATGCTTCCCTTACAGCATAGAAGTTCTATCCTCCCCCTTCCATCCAGTCGTCTAATTTTGATCAAGAGAGCCACTCACCGTTTGATCTTATATCCAACGTTTCAAAGTATTTTATTTTTAGTTTTTTTTAATACAAATTGTATGGATATGAAATTTGGTATGTGTCATCTTCTCATTGGGTTGCACCTATAAAAAATATTAAAAATAATTTTTCGATAAAATATAATGATCAAAATACCCCTTGAAACTTTCTGGGGTATTTTTATCATTTTATTTTATTGAAATTTTTTTTTTTTTTTTTCGCTAGTGCGAGTTTAATAGAGAAATGGACATCCAAAATTTGGTGTCAAACTAGTTTATAGAAAAAAAATTAAAAATAAAATAGTGTAGAGACGTGACATTGTGATTGGGGCAATCTTAGCCCTCCATTCATAATGGACGGTTGGATAAGGGGGAGGATAGGGAAGCATATAAAGCTTGCCCTTCTTTTATTGCTTCGTTACAGGTTTTCATCTTTCCGCAAAGATTTCACGCACACAAAATTTAGGAAAGGGAAAAGTTTATATAGAGCCGAGGCTCTAACAATCAAATTTGAGCCTACATCAAAAAATTCACTAGAATAGGTTGTTTTGATGCCCAAAAATCTTCAAATCAATCATCTCTACATCAATATGCATGGACATGAGAAAAAAATGGATTTCAAATTTTGGAAATAATGTATTTTGTAACACATTTATGGACCGTCAATTTTCAAGTTTCATAGATCAGTCGATCTATACTATTTTTGAAGCTGTAAACTTTATAAATAAATATAAATATATATTTTAAGCCTATTACAAAGATTTTCAATATTAAAACCACACTTCTCGACACTATTTGAAGGTAGGCTCTAATTTGATTGTTTAGAGCCTAGGCTCTATACAAACCGCACCCTTTAGGAAAAACTTTGAAGAGTATGTATTTGTATCACAATACCAAAGTTTCAGAAGAATTGCTCCTTTTATTATTTATAAACTGAATTTTCTTGGAAGATTTGTGCAAAAACTCCAAGATACAAGATATCATACAAATTTCAATTACCATAAATGACAAGCTAAAATTTCAAAAATGGATTTGGCATGTAATTCAGGTTCAAATTCTTAGAAACCCAAGACACATGAGTCACCCGATTCACCAGACACTTCTCCTTATGCAAAATAAGGATCTTATGTGTGTTTTCACATTTATATTTTAACTATGCTAAAACTATCATGAGAGAGACTTTCTATAGAGGAGAGAGAAAAGTTAGAATCAGTGAATAGAAACATGAGATTTACATTTCAAAAAAAAAAGAGAAACACGAGAATACCCTATGAAATATCGGCATTTTTTTACAGTCTCCAAATAAGTCACCCCCTGTTATATTGTTTTTAAACTTAATCACTGCCCTATTATATTTGTGTTTTTTTTTTTTGTGGTTATGAATATTTGTCTTATAAGGTGTCAAAAGTGAGATACCAGCTTCTTCTTCTTCTTTTTTTTTAACAGAAGTGAGATACCTGCTTTTAAAAAATCCAACAACTCATACAATATTCTAAAACACTGCTTTTGGTTTTGATGAAGAGGCAGGGCTGGAAAGTTGCTTCAATCAATATTTATTGCCTTGTGATGTGTACCTTGATAGAGATTTTTAATATGGATAATAGAACATAGAGAGATGTTGAATTATTAAATAGTGAATGCATTGGGTTCGGTTTGATAAATTTGGATTTGTCATTTTATAAATTAACTATTTTCATCGTACTCAAAATCATTTAAATGTTTTCACTGACACCACCCAACTAACACTTTAAAAAACCTGACTTCTGAACAATTTGAAAAAATGGGTGGGGTTGTCTTTCCCATTAAATTACAACAAAAAAACATTTAAATATGGAAAATAGTCAGCCAGGGTTGCAACCTTATCAAAACAAGTAAATCGTTACTCAATAACTCATCAAAAATTACAATTCAAGCATTGAAAAACTTTTACATCGATCATCTCGACTTAAACACTATGGTCATAAAAAAAAAAAAGAGATTTCAAGCTCTTAAAATAATGTATCTTATAACAAATTATTCTAGACTTTTCATTTTGCTTTAAATATAAGTGTTTTACAAATCTTGCATATTTGTACCATTTTTTGAGTTTCAAATTTTATTGCCGGAGTTAAAAATTGATTATAGAGCCATTATAGAGATTTCCGTTGTTGAAAGCAGTTTTGAACGACGATTTGAGGTGACGGTTTATTTAGTTTTCATAAAGCCTAACCTTATAAAAGGTCATGTAGGCCCACTACCCATATACCAAAAACCAGATCTCTCTTTTTCCTATTTTCTCTTCGAATTTGCACCCATCCTCTTATCCATTCCAATCCAAATTCAAGAGAATGGGGTCCACTAAAATGGATCCAATAAAATGTCAGCCAAAAGCTTTTGTGTTCCCATAGGAGTGTACCAACTGTTTATTCTTTCGGATAAAACCCAATTTAGGAGTATTTCTAGGATCCAAATATTTTGATATAATTGCCTCAACTTAGCGACTAACCTCAAAGAAAGCTATTTATAAATATTATGGCTAAAAAAAAAAAGAAAAAACATGTAATGAGACTATTTACATTTGGTATAAGGTAGTCACAATTGATTATGATCATTAGATGTGAAATTGGGTGATTGTATTTATTCCATTGATCTAGCTCAAAGTTCAAAAAAAGATTTCTCAAACCTTATAATAAACCAAGCTATTATATTTCACATCATATGACTATAAGTAATTGTGATTTTTTTGTAATAAAGGAAAATGGTCTCCTTGTATATAATTCCAAAAAATAATATTACGAGGTTGAATAAAGATTATTAAGTTTTTTGACAATGAGATCCAAGTGTTGGAAAATATATAATTAAATTTTAAATTTTTTTTTAAAAATCATACGGTGATTATAAAGTAAATCCCAAATTCTCATTATAAAAAAGTCCTTCAAACTAGCTTTCTTTTAAAGAGTAATTGTACAATATACACCTCTACTAGCACTATATACTCATGACTTTATCTACTCCATTTGCTCTCATCGAATAGTCGAAAATAAATCTGTCACACTCTCTCACTCCAGCAGAGAATTGGATTTCTCTCTCCCTCTAGTAGTGAGGCTCTCTTTGGTGTCCACGAAAGTGGCTTTATCCTAGGGAAAATCGCTAAAAACCCTCAAAATATATTTTTAAAATATTTTACTCTCGTTTTTAAAATTTTATTTATTTTTCACAAAAGTCATCTTTTATAACTAATATCCCCAACTCAAAAAGTTATATATTTTTTGACGAAAATACCCTCCATTCACATGACAAATCATTTTCGGATTCGAATACGAGACATTATACAACGCCGAACTGTTCAGTCTGGCGTACTTCAAAACACCGGATTGCCCCTACAAAATTCCGAACTGCCATATCAAAACACCGAACTGCCCCTTCAAAATGCCAGACCGCAACTTTAAAATGCCAGACCCTAACTTCCAAATGCCAGATCGATAATTCCAGCAAAAAAATAATCGCCAGACCACCACCATGAAACGTCCTACCACCACCATGAAAAGCCGGACCGCCCATTTCAGCAAAGAAAAAAAAAATCGGCGAACTACTTGTTCAAAATGCCAGACTGCCCTCTTTAACGAAAATAATTTGTTAAGTGAAGAAAAGGTATTTTTATCTAAAATAAGTGAACTTTTTGTGTTGAGGGTATTAACAAGAAAACATCAGTTTTTTGGGAGGGAGGAGTTGCTTGAAAAAATTGGGTGGGGGTGTAAAGTGGGTAAAAAATCCATATTGGAGAGTTTTGAGGAATTTTCCCTTTATTCTACTCATTTGACCTGCTTTTAGTGTTTAAATTAACTTGAGGTCCAAGTTGACATCTCTCCCTCATGCACATGATCCTTACTTCTCATATGGTCACAATAATATAAAAGATATATGAACATATGTATCTTTAATGGATGAAGTAGACCGGGTTTTATTAAATTGGGCAATCTGCATCTCATAACCCCATTAAAAAATTAGATGTGCTGTTACGAAACCTTGTGATGGCCTGAAAATCAATGCTGTATATTAAAAAAAAAGAAAAAAAAAACAACCACTATGGTAAACAAATTGTCCTAATAGTATCCCTACCCCCACTTGCCTCGTATTGTAATTGGAATATCTCAGTAGTTCATTTAGATCCGACTCGACGGCTAAAATATGAATAAAAAGCTAAAACCTTTGTCTAATATTTTAAAAACTCTCTCTATCTCTCTAACACTGCATGATTCATGGTTTTGGGGATGGGGACAGGCTTTTAAGAGCCTTGGCGTTTGATTCATAAGTGAGGGTGGGTTGCTTCCATATTATAAAACATTATAAAAGGGTAAAAAGAAAGAACCTCAACTATCTATTATTTAACATTTTGTCCCTTGAGTTTCAAATAAACCTTTCTTCTTAATTATCACAGGTAGTTTTCCCCATATGCTCATAATTTTTTTCAAGTTCCCACCACAAGTGGCAATTATTATGGAAATTTTTATATTTTTGAATTTCCTAATTATTTTTAGTACTTGTAGATATTTTTTTGGTTTTTATATTTTAGCTTATGTCATTGTTTTATATTTTTTTCCAAAGTTAATTTGAAAATCTTAATGGGGGTATTTTTGGTAAAAATAAAAAATAATGAAAATAGGGGTAATATTTGAAGGGGAAAAAGTTTTGTAAGATTGCAACCCTATAGTGACGTGCACTTTAAAATTATAAAAGGGAAAGGTGTTTTGAAGTAGAAAAACCTTCTAATTAATCATCTTGATTTCGAGATGTGTGGATATGAAGGAAAAAAAATTAAGCCATAAAAATAATAAATTTTATAACAAATTATCTAGATTTTTTATTTTAAATGTTTTTAAGTATTTATAAATTTACTCAATCTACACTGTTTTTAGAATTTTAAATTTTATTATTAGGGCTGAATATGGATTTTTAACTTATTTTAAGGATCTTGACGTCTAAACTACATCTTCAAGCAAAATTTAGAGGTGATCGTTATTTTGTAGAGTACAAGGTGGACACCTTCTACACTTCACCCTTTTTTAGGTATCTACAAATTATTTGAGAAATTTCAAAAGATTTCCCTTATTGATACTAGATATTATGGGTGGCAACTTTATTGGGATAATATCATCATGCTATTGTTGGAAATTATTGGATAATATTTGGGACTCTAATATGTTAACTTTGATAATATGTATATTCAAATTAATTAGAATTAGCAATTAGTGAAATTATGGAAGTTTTGCAAGAATGTGCTTATTATACTATTTACAAATTGATAAATAAATAACAAAATTAACACAAACTGTGATGCATTGTTTTGGTCTTTACACCATATTTGCATAAATTTTATTTATCAAATTGTTGCCCTAATAATGGAAAAATTAAATACTAGCATTGGAGTTATTGTTGACATCAGAGTTTATTGCATAGCATCATTGGAGTTATTGTCGACATCAGAGTTTATTGCATACTAGCATTGGAGATATTGTCGATATCAAGTTTATTGCGAAGAAAGGAGGGAAAATAAATATTTTATATATGAGAAATGATCTCCCACCCATATGTGTAGGACCTCCAAAAGATCACTATTAAAATTGATATGGATTTTTTGAAAAGTCAAGTCCCACACTCACATGACACTTTTTTTAGAGATCTGTGCTAACTTTAATGATGATCTTTTAAGATTCTACACACATAGATGGGGGAAGGTCCTATAGGATCATCACTCTTTATATATTTAAAAAAAGTTTACATAGAGCTGAGGCTCCAAACAATCAAATTTGAGCCTATCTCAAAAATGTCACTAGAAGAGGTTGTTTTGATGCCCAAATATCTTCAAATTAATCATCTCGACATCAAGATGCATGGACATGAGAAAAAAATAGATTTAAAGTTTTGGAAATAGTATATTTTGTAACGTATTTTTTGACCGTCAATTTTTAAGATTTTCAAGTTTTGATAGTTCTATTGATCTACACTATTTTTGAAGCTTTAAACTTTATAAATACATATAAAAAATATATTTTAAGCCTATCACAAAGATTTCCAATATTGAAACCACATTTCTCGACACTATTAGAAGGTAATCTCTAATTTGATTGTTTAGAGCCTAGGCTCTATACAAACCACACCCTATATATTTTACTATATTTAATGTTTAATGTTTTCATATATTTACACTTATGTCCTAATTTTGGTTTTTTTTTTTTTTTAAATACTGCCAATTCCCAGTTTCCGAACCTAAAAAAACTCAAAAAATCCCAAAAAATAGAGAAAATAAAGATTATTGGAGCTAATTATCCACTCAGTCAGTATGCTTGGATTAAATAAACCAAAACCATCTAAAATTTAAATAAACTAGATGATTTTATGCTAACCTCAATATATAAAAAAAATCGATTTGAATCCTCTATATGCTAGAAAAAGAAAATACTGTCTTAAGATTGAACACAAATCGTCCAATTTTTTAAGGTTGAGAACTAAGTATCAAGAAAAAAATTAAAATTCGTGTTTTTATTTAAAAAATAATCATCTAATTATTCTTACATTAACAAATCCAATTGAACTCTATGAGCTAGAAAAAAAAAAAAATGTCTTAAGAACTAAACACAAATCTCAAAAATTTGGAGGTTGAGAACTAAGTGTCTGGAAAATTCTTTAGAAAATAAACATCTAATTATTCTTAAATAGTTTCCAAATTTTCAGAGTGAAAAAAAAAAGTTTTTTTTGGCTGAGAGAGTAGATACATTATGCTCTCGCGGTAGCATAGTATAAGCTCTTGGAATAATTTTTTGTGTCTCTTGTATCAGACACATGGTGCGCCGCAATCAGGAAATCCCATCTGGTCGTCCATGTGGCAAGAAGAGACTGGATGAACGGCTGTACTTCCAAAGCTCTAAAATTCATGCATTTGGCACGTGGGAACAGGATGAACCCACGCGCCAATAATGGTAGAACAAATTGGGCATTTGTTCTGTTTTTTGCTTTTATTTTGCTTTATTCCGACATTTATGTGGCATTTAGGAGAATGGAATCAAATTCCAACGGTATAAATACATTTTTTTTCTTTTTTTTTTTAAATATTTTGTATAATTATGTAAAATAAGATTAGCCAAATTTATGAGAAAATTTTATAGTATGCTCCACATTTAATTATCTTGTACTATAATCCAGGTTCAACAAGTGGGCCAAGTAGCCCAAGCGGTTTTGAGTCGGAGGTCGAGCTCGGGGATCTTATTTTTTTTAAAAAAAAATATAAAAAATACTAAGAAATAAGAAATATATTCATAACGTGTTTATTTATATCTTCTAACATTTTGGCAAAGATTGAAATGTATTTTGGTCATGAATATTTATTTTTATATTTTATCATATTTTTTAGTTTTTTGTAAAAATAACTCTGGTCACAAAGTCATTTTTTAGAATCTTATTTTTGCTAATTTTAAAACCACAATTAGTTGTGTTTTGTTTATTTTGATTTTTATTTTATTTAATTTTAATACTTTTAAGATTCTTGATGTGACAATATTTTTATTTCATCAAACAATTCCAATTGTGTAGATATAAATCAAACCCCCGTAAAATTAAATCCATATCGGCCAACCTTTGAAAAGATCGTGCCAATTTACTGTAATCAAAATTTGGCTTTTAACAAAAATAAATTAGAGAGAAGAATCAAGAATATCCAAAATACAAATAAAAACTTATAAATAAAAGTATACTACAAATTAAGTTTATACTAAAATAGAAAAGAGATGGTATACAATTAATAGAAAAGAGGTTGTATACAATGAGACCATTTACCTTTTATGTACACAATTATTATGTAGAATTATCCGATATGAAATCCGAAAGCTTGGGTGTATCATAAAATTCGAAAAGATTTCTTTTGAAGTTTGAGCTTGGTCAATGGAATAAATGCAATCATCGAATTTTACATCCAATGGTCAAGATTAATTGTGACCATCTTCTACCAAAGATCAATGGTCTCATTATATACTTTTCATACAAATAAGATATCCTTTTTCCTACTGATGAGATTGATTTCCAACAAAAGATGATTGAATTCTTAAGAGATAAAATTAGACATAAGAAATAAAATTTAAGTATAAGATTTAATAAGTTAAAATTTTAAATAAAAAATTAATTCTTAAAATTAAGCATATAAAATAAATTTTAAGCATAAGAATTAAATTGAGATTAAAAATAAAAAGTTATATATTAACACTGCACTTGCATTAAATATTTTAAAATTTAATTTTATCAAATAATTATGCAACAACTGTTTCGGGTCAGTTCTCTAATGATTAATTAACTTTAAATTCTTAAATCAACTTTCCACTTTAAGAGCCAAAAAGGTCAATCCTTTTAAGACCTGCTCTTAAATTACTAATTATTTTTTTGCTTTAAATAGCCAAAAAAGTGAGGATATTCTCAAAATGTTTTGAAAATATAGGGGGCAGTTCTGGAAAACCAGCATAGGTAGAGAAGCAGTCAAGAGCAAGTAACTTAGAGATTTAGGGTTTTATTGGGTTCTTGTCTGAATTTTTCATCGTTTTTCACTGGCTTTTTAAGAATTTGAAGTAAGTTTTGGATCGCTCCCCCCACTCGTCCTCTTAATATCGCTCTTCCGATCATTTTCCGGTCTGTTTCTGGCGTTATTTGGGCTAAAAGCTTGGATTTCATGGCAAGAAATCCATTTATTTTTTCGGCGTTGGGCTGGAAAACTGGTCGGAATTTTTAAAATTTTTGTGAAGAGGCCTAAGTTTTCGGGTTTTCATGCTTCCGTTTTGCGTCTTTTTCCTCTGATATCGCTTATCCGGCGCTAAATATAATTTGGTTGAAACGTGTTTGGATTTTCTGGCGATAAGTCGGTCGCTTTTCCTGGTGGGAATCATTAAAGTTATTTCAAAAAAAGGCCGGAGTTTTGATATCCGTTGAAAATTTCAAGGAAAAAACCTGAGGTTGAAGAGCTTTGAAATTGATAAATTTCCCGCAATTTTAGGAAGAAAAGTGGCTTAAAATAGGAGCTTTATAAACTCGAAGAAAATTTTGTCTGAGAATTTTCAGGCGTTCGATTTCTAGGGCTATATTTACTGAACAAAATGGCCGGAAGCTCCATTTTTGAGGGCCATTGAGATAGAATTTATCTGGAAAATTGACCGGAAAAGCGATTTAGGATCTAGAAAAGTGGTGAAGCTTCTGGTGTAGAAATTATTAGATTTACGGCCTGTTTTTCAAAAGAAATTCATTCGAAAATTAATTTTTTTCTCTCTACAAGTTTAAGGATAAGAGGCTCTCTAGAGACGCAGAGAAACTTTTGTAAGAAAAGTTTGGTGAAAAACTGATTTTCTGAAGATTTCACCTGGCCAAGAAAAGCAAACATTTATAGAGGGAACTGCTGGTGAGCTTTTGTTTTCAATAACCGGAAAAATCAGTTAGCAAAAGGGTTGTTAAGAAACTCAAAATTTTGGAGGAAGATTTGGAATTTTTGGAAGCTCTGGTTTTTGAAAAAGATTTGATGCCAAATTCTGATTGCTGCATTTGTTCAAGTTTTTTCTCTAATTTAATCATTTGATTGTAACCTGTTATAGGTTCCAAACTTTTACTCTATGGAGGAAAGCTGTATTAAACACATGTAATAAACAGAGGAAGTTGCAGTCTTTCCATTGAATTCAAAAAATTTGTGCAAACACTTAGGAAGTTAATTGTTTGTTCAAGTAGTAATTCTGAGACAAAATATTGTTGGAATTGATTTTTGATTTTGGGATCCACAAACTCGACGTGAAGAAGGTTAAGGGCACTGTGTTATAGCTAGACAATGGCTCAAACTGAGAACATATGGAGGAGATCCAGAGATTTTGCAGTGATTCTTTTTGGGTTTCTGTTAGCTTCCGTATTTGTGTCAGCTGAACGGAATCTGGTACTCAGAAGCCCTGAAAAAGAAGAAATGCATGGTAATTTTGCTCTGAAACTTGTCAATTTCTTATGGCAACCGAACCAGTCGAATTACGAGCATGTTTGGCCTGTAAGTTTCATACTTTCCTTTGCATGCATTGTTTTCCTTTTTTTTTTTTTCTTTTTTTTGGGTGTTACATAAAAGAAATACAATTTATATCATTTTCCTACTGGCCCTATCACTCACTAAAGTAACAAAAAAGAAGAAGAAGTTCATATCATTTTTTTTATAGTGGGTTTGTATTATTGTGCTTTACTTCAATAGATTTACAGGTTTATTAAAATATTTTTAGTTTTATATCAAAGTTTCAGGTTGACATTGAATTGCTCGGGGGCTCATGAGTTTTACATATAAGGAGTAGACCTTGAACTTTCTACTTTTATGGAAATTTGGCGTTAGTAACATAAATATTTTAGCCAAAATAGAAATTTGGAATGGTTTGGGTCCACAAATAATAGAGCTCCCCAGTATTCAGGACTTCGGAACAATTATGCACTGAAGTTTGAATAAAATGGCAAAGTAAAATTTTTACATCTCTATAACGAATTTCTGAATTTAAGTTGAATTCTGGACTGAATTTATTTTGAATTGAAGGACATAATAGCTAAAATTCAAAACCAGGTTACATAACTAATGAGCATTAAATATTTAACAATCTATTTAATATCATGATATGAGTTATATATTTTCTTATCAATTGAAATTTGTGTTCATCATCATCATTATTATTATTATTATTATTATTATTTTGGCTTATAATTTCACATTTTGAGCATCTACATTCAACAATTAATTAAAAAAATGAAGAAGAAGAAGAAGAAAAAAGAGTCTTTACTCAAATGCTTCAAGATTCTATTAATATCTTTATAAAACTTGTGAACTTTCTTTTTTCTGATAATGCTTGGTGGCTAAATTAAAACCAGTAAACATTGAAGATTTAGATTTGAACAGTTCATCTAAATTGATTTTCTATAGGAGATGGAGTTTGGGTGGAGAATTGTTCTGGGTACTATTATTGGATTCTTTGGAGCTGCATTTGGGAGTGTTGGAGGTGTTGGTGGAGGAGGAATATTTGTTCCCATGCTGACCTTGATAATCGGCTTTGACCCAAAATCTTCAACAGCTATATCAAAATGTAATTTCTTTTATAGTTTTATCTGTTAATAAACATGGCAGCATGATATATTATTGTCTCCCCAAGGTCTAACTATGATATATTCCATGTTTAATCAAGAATATTCTTTTTATATTTGATAATGCAGGCTTGTACAATTTGGCATTAGGAATGCCAACCTTGGGAAAAGGCTATGACGATAACGATGATAAATGCCAACCTTGCTTGGCCAGTCCATGGGCCGCCAGGCTGGGCCTGGTTTCGGGCCACACTTTATGGCCCACAGCAGGCTAGGGCAAAGGTCACTATGTCCAAAGAATTTTTTGGTGGGGTGGGGCTACGCTTGACCTGCACAGAAAATTACATAATGTTCAATATTGTGCATGCACACACACATTTTTTTTATATATAATATACATGTATATGGTGTATCATATACATAGTATATCCATTTATATAACCAAAAATAGGCTGGAGCCAAGCCACATCTAGTTTTTGCCTGGTCCTGGGCCATAAGTTGCAGTTTACTTTCCGGTGTGGGTATTGCCAAAAAAAGTCGGGCCATTGGGCTGGCTCAGCATGAGCCCACCACATTGGCAGCCCAAGGTGGCATGAAAAAGGAGCACAAGAACACCATGGATTTTTTTTGTGTTAGATAAATTTGGTAATGTATGGTCTTTGCTCTAATAAATGTTACCCAGTTTAAGAATGAGATGTGAACATCTGTTTGGGCAGGTATGATCATGGGTGCAGCTGGATCAACTGTTTATTACAATCTTAAGCTCAGACACCCCACATTAGACTTACCCATTATTGACTATGACTTGGCTTTGCTTTTCCAGCCAATGCTAATGTTGGGAATTAGCATTGGAGTAACCTTCAATGTGATTTTTGCGGACTGGATGGTCACTGTTCTCCTAATCATTCTTTTCATTGGTAAATATTTCTCTTACGGTTTTCTTTTCGGTAGTTAATATTCTGACAGCCCATGAAGAACCCATTCCAGCTTGTGAATATTGATGACTCTACCTTCCTTTAAACTCAATGTGACGATGTGATTTGCTTCCATTACATAGGAACATCAACAAAAGCTTTCATGAAAGGTGTCGAAACATGGAAGAAAGAGACCATACTTAAGGAGGTATCTTTATTTTAGTTTTTGCATATGCCAATATATTTCCTCATCAGTGAAACTTGAAAGCTGTGACCAAGAGTTGAATGGCTTTTCTCCTATTGCAGGAAGCAGCCAAACGTCTGGAGGGTTATGAATCGAATGGTAAGTTGTTTGACCCTTCCTTCCCTGGTGCTAAATTATGACACGAGCTGTGCCCCCTCGTCATGTATGTGTGCATTGTATGCATGCATTCTGTATGTGCATGTTTTCATATGTATGTGTATATGCATATGCATTCACATATCTGTGGAGGCTAAACATTTATCTTGATTTTTTGTTGAAAACTCATAATCTTTATAAAGTTCTTGCTTCAGGAGGTGAGGAAGTAGAGTACACGCCTCTTCCAAGTGGTCCTGGCAATGGCAGTGCACAATCCAAAGCCTCAAGAGATGCAGAGGTGAACAGGAAAACTCTCTTAATTTTTCCCCTTTGATACATAGGACCTATTGATGATGCTTTTAAATACTTTAGTGGATTGATTTCTTAACTGTTTTTTGTCCAGGTATCTGTAATTGAGAATGTTTACTGGAAGGAACTCAGCCTCCTGGTCTCTGTCTGGGTTGCCTTCCTTGTCTTGCAACTTATGAAGGTTAGCTCTTTTGTTGGGTAGTAATTTAGGTTAGCTTCTTTATTTACAAATTCTCATGCAGAACTCCATGATTTCACTCTTTTCCCTTCACATGGCTCTATAGCCTTTTCATCTCTCGATTTCGTAACTTGTTTCTGTTGTTTTACTTGCAGACTAATACTACAACTTGCTCGGTAGAGTACTGGGTTTTGAACTTGTTACAGGTAAATTGTGTTCATTTGGAATGGTACACCATACGCCAATGTTGAATATACACCAAAGGCAATCTGCCATCCGTTCCCAATAAGGGATGGTAAAGATTAAATGTACCCTTGTGAATGTCACAATGGGCCAACTACGGCTAGTCTTCAATGCCTATCAGTAGGAATGGATGGTGGACGGCCCTTTGCTGCACCATACACCATACAATGTACATCACTGGTGTAGCCTATACTTTCCTCATTTATTTTTCAGAAGCCATTTTTGCTTTCGACTTTTTGAGGCCTGGTTTAGTAGCAGACTGCAAAATTAATTGCACATTCTTATTCTATTTTTGTAGGTCCCTGTTGCTGTGGGTGTGAGTTTGTATGAGGCCGTTAGCTTATACAAAGGATGGAGAGTGATTGCTTCAAAGGGAAATGCCGGGACAAACTGGAAAATCCGCCAGCTGGTTCTTTACTGCTTCTGTGGAATACTAGCTGGTATGGTTGGTGGGCTTCTTGGGCTTGGAGGAGGCTTCATATTGGGGCCACTTTTCTTGGAGTTAGGCATCCCACCTCAGGTATAAATATCCTTTTCAAGTTTACTTTATGCCCTTGTTACAGTACTCATTATGCCAAACGACCCAAGAACTAGATCCACTTATTAATCTTTTTACATATAATTTTGAAGGCTATTTTGGGGTATTAAGCAAGTGCTTTATTCCTTCCTCAAGGGGGTTTTTAGATAGATCTTCCAATTTTTTCTATTTGTTTTGATTTAACATTACATGAATTGAGAGATAACAATGTTATCCTGCTACTATACATGACTAATGAAATGAAAGCAGTTAAAGATGCAGTAGATGAGATTCGAGAGTCTCAGTTTAGTCTCTTTGTCTGCTTCTATTCTGTAGGTCCAAATGTGCTCACAAACTAAGTTTAACATATTGTTTCGAATACTGATTTGCTGAGTTGCTTCCTGATTTATGCAATATAACTCTTTTGCAGGTTTCTAGTGCCACTGCAACCTTTGCGATGACATTCTCCTCGTCCATGTCAGTTGTTGAATATTACCTTCTAAAGCGGTTTCCTGTCCCTTATGGTATTTCTTCATTTTCTCTTTGATTTTTTTTTTTTTCTTCTTCTTCTTACTTTATTATTTTGTCGCTTAGAAAGAGATTGGATTTTTTTTAGTCCTTTCTCCTTCATTTACACTAGAGCTGGAAATTCAGATTGATTTCTTATATATTTTGCAGCTGTCTACTTTGCTCTTGTGGCTAGTGGTGCTGCCTTGGTGGGTCAGCATGTTGTGAGGAAGATAATTATTTTGTTAGGGAGGGCTTCCTTGATTATATTCATTCTCGCATTTACGATATTTGTGAGTGCAATCACACTAGGTAAGCATCTCAACTGCAGTGTATCTGGTTTAATCCCCAGAAATTTGACAATGGTTTCTTCATTAACATTTAAAGTTATTTTATATCATCATCATTATCGTCAAAGCTTGTTCTCATTTTATTGATATTTTTCAAAAAGAATTGGGGACAAGTAAAATGGCTTTAAAAAAAATGAAAATTTAAAGCCATTTCACATATGGGAAAAGTTTATATAAGATGCAACCTTAAAATGTAGAATCACAGATGTACCTAAAAAATCTATCGAAAATGTTGTTTTAATGTTGCAAAAACACTCTAACTGATCATCTCGACATCAAGATGCATGAATATGAAAAAAAAAATGTTTTTGAGTTCCGAAAATAGTACAGCTCGCATCCATTTTCAAGCTTTTCATATATTTATAGATCTACTTAATTTTAACTATTTTTATAATTTAAAATTTTCTAATTAGGTATGAAAATAGATATTAAGATAATACTAAGAATTTTTTACAACAAAATTACATGTTATGATAAAATTTTAAAGTATGCCTTAATTGGATTGTTTAAAGTTGCAACCTTATAGAAATGCCTTAATTGGATTGTTTAAAGTTGCAAACTTATAGAAACCGCACCCTTTACATTTTCCTAATTATTTTTTTGAAAAATAGCAATAAAATGATCAAACCACTTCAATCACTCAATGAGATGGTTAAATCAACCAAATTACAAGAAAGTGGTTATTTTTTAATAAACATCTCACCTGGGTACCTTCTCAAATATTTTGTCAGGAAATGCCCAACTGCCCTTGTGCCTGCTTTGAAACACTAAGTGAGTGAGGGTACTTTGGTAATGTTGGCCACTAAAGTTACTCAAGTTTAATAACCTAAATACCCCCTTCTTGTTCCATTTCTTTGTTAAAAAAATTTGTTGATATTTACGTGTTTTTGGCTCGGGTAATTTAAGTGTGGTCAAATTACCAAAACTAATTTTTTTAGTTAGAAAACATGTTCCTGATTTGGAACCCGGGATAAGCAGGGGTATTTATGCAATGAGGTAGCTAAATGTCATTGCTTTTCAAGGTTCAAAAAGTCTAAAACAAGGGCAATATGGGCATCCTTTTTTAAAACTCTTGAGAAGCAACCTAAATGAAATTTTTTTCGGAGTAACGACTTTGTTGATAAAATTGTTCATTCCATCTCATTATTATTATTATTATTATTATTATTTCCTTTCTTCAAGTAGTTTGATTAATTTAATGATATGTTCTTTTGTGTAACCTAGATATATTCTTTTGTGTAATCTAATATTTACAACTAGTGTTTCAAAAGTCGACTTGGTCAAGGTACCTAGCCTTTGGTTAAGCCGAGTTATAATTCTGTTGAGTCCGAGTGCATTTGGCCAAATAATGTACAACCCAAAAGAGTAAAAAAAAAAAAAGTAAAAAAGGGTAATATTTTTTAGATAGTTAAAAATAAGAAAAAAAGTTAAAATAAGTAATAGGAACCATTAGAAGATTAAAAAGATGAAAAAAAGTTAAAAGAAGTAATAGGAACCATTACAAGATTAAGAAAAAATCTGTAAAAGAGTTCTTACTGAAAATTTTCATGCATAACTTGAATGTTTCAAAAAAAAATTAGAAAAGGGAAAAATATGAAAGTTCCTTAAAAATTAATAAAAAAATAAAAAAAATTCTACCAATATAATGGTGTGTTTTCCATTTTTTACCATTTTTTATTTTAAAATATTTTTTAAGAGCTTTATAAGGGTGGGACAAGTTGCCATGGAACTTGCCTCAACTCTGGCCGAGGCTAAGTTCCTCGCCGAAGTTCAAATGGCCCAAGTCCGATTGGACTCGGGCACGTCCTAGAATACGATTTGCATGGAAAGTAGACAATAATGCTGTTTATTTTTGTTACAAAATGTCACAATCATCTCTAGCCATCAGATAGTTGAGAGTGTCATTTTTTGCCCTGTGTTAGGTTTTTTTACCAAGGTTATTTTGATAATAATTTAATATAAATAATTTGTGATTAATACGTTATAGAGAGAAAATTAAACTAATAACTTTAGGTTCTCCTATCATATCAAGAATGGAGGAAAAAGAATAAAAAAAAGGAAAGTTACCAAACTTTATTTCTATGCTTTGTATGTGATGGATTGGCTTGTGCTATTTAACAGGTGGAGTTGGCATCTCAAACATGATACACAAGATTCAGAACAGGGAGTACATGGGATTTGAGAACCTCTGCTCTTATGATCCATAGCATGGATCAGATGGGGGAGGGGGGGAAAGGGGGGGAGAGAGAGATTCTTGTAAATTCAATTAACCTTTTTTGCATCCAATTATAATGTTTCTGTCTCAATGTTTTGTACAAGTCTATATGCTTGCCTTTTGTGATGACCACATGGTGATGCTTTTATCATATGGTCATTTGGATCATACAATATCATTATAGCATTAGGAAATAGGGGGTCTAATCATCTAATTTATTAACTGGTTATTTTTGAAAGATTATTTCATTTAGTTAACTATTTTGTTAAAAATATACCAAAAATGCTCGATCATTGATCTGGAATACAAGCAAGATATTTTGGTAATTTACCCCTACTTAAGTTGCGCAAGCTAATTTGCATTAAGCTCCAAACATATTTTTGATATTAAAATCTATTGTTTTGAATTTGGAATTCAGAACATAATAATTATGGACTAGCCCAAATGATTGCTTTTGCATTGAGTTTTAAAATTAAGAACATGTTTTTCATATGAGCAATGATCTTATGAGATTTTCTCACATCCATGTGTATAGGATTTTAAAAAATTACTATTAAATTTGATACAGATCTCTAGAAAAGTTATCACATGGGTGTAGGATTTGATTTTTTTAGATATTTATGTCAAATTTAATAGTGTCAAATTTAATAGTGATATAATGTGTGTAGGACCCCACCTACACACATAGGTGTGGGAGGGTCTTATAAGATTATTACTCTTTTCCATATTAAAATCTATTGTTCTCAGTTTAAAACTAAAAAAGGTTCCGTTTTATAATCTTTTCCTTTTTAACGGGAAAGCTTTCTATGTGATCCCATCTGCACATGAATGAATGAGATTGTACATTACGAGGCTATTTATTTTATCTATAAGGAGGTCACAATTATTTTTAGCTATTGGATGTGAAATCGAATAAATGAAAGTGTATCACAATATTCAAGAATTTTTTTTAGGACTTGTATCCAAATAATGATGCGTTCTCAACCTTTTAATTTTAAATCTAACGGTTAATGATGATTGTGACCTCCTAACATCAAAGATAAATAATCTCATTTTATAGACTTCTTAAATTATATGTGACTTAATTTCTCAACTGTTAGATCTGAATGGATGGTGTGGATTGTTCAAGGCACAATATCACGTCAAATACTATTTGATTTTTAATTTTTAAAAAAATATTTTTAAGTGAAATTTGGGATGTCCTATCCTCATTGGGGCACACCTAATTAAAATAAAAAAATATATATCTCGTAAAAATAAATGACAAAATGCCCCTTGCAGTTTTAGAGGTTTGTGGTAATTTTTATTCAAGGAAGTATTTTTATCATATTCAACCCTTCTAGATGTTTGCATGTTTTAAATTTCGTTGCAAAATGATTTATACAATAAAGATTGAAAATAAAGCATTATGAGCCATTGATCAAGTTCTGATGTTCAAGAGCCAACTTGTGACATTGTGATCATTCTGGTTAAATACTTAGATTTGATGGCTGAGAGCAGGGCCATATATATGTTATATGTGAGTGAGGTCACATGTAAAGCTTCCCTCTTTCAAAACTAAAGTTCTCAGTTTTCAAAAGATTGGATTCAAATTTTTAATAGCCAGATAGATCGAGGGAAGTGATTCGAAAGTATCTCAATTAGGGGAAGATGCCTATCAAATTTTCAGATCAATTTTTTCAAAAAATAACTACCTTAGTTTAGAAATTGAAGTTTTGAACCACCATCTCATTAAAAAAAAAAGAAAAGGAAAAAAGTATACAATAAGACTATTTACCTTCGGTATAATGGGTTACAATTAATTTTGACCATTGGAGGGCGGCATTTATTCTATTAATCAAGCTGAAATTTCAAAAGAAATTTTTGCAAACTTTGTGGTACACTTCCTTATATAAAAAATAAATGGTTTAATTATATACAATCCCTTAAAAAAAAAGAAACCTTGGTTCGGAAGTTGAAGTTTTGAATTTGAGATATTTTGTTTAAAGATTTTTTTTTAAAAAAAAAGAAAGAAAAACATAAAATAAGATAATTTACCTTTGATACAATGTAGTCATATTACTATTGCTATCGAAAATTATAGTTAAAGGCAAACAATAATAATAAATAAATAAATAAAAATAAAAGGGAAAAATTGGGTTTTTTCGAATATTAGTGCATCGCAACATGACGCTGAAATTCAAAATCTCATATAAAACGATTTCCCGGGAAACGGGGTGTTCCCGATATTTATAATCTTGTCAGGGTTTTTTCAATTCATTCTATCCAACAAAACTTCCTTCTCTCTCAGCGAAGAGAGAGCTCGGAAGCTTTTCAATTCCCAAAATGCCCTCACTGCAACTCTCTCCTCCCTCCTGCTACCTAAACCCTAATTTCGCCTTCACAAAACCAGGGTGTTCAAAATCACAAGCCCTCAATCCTGTTATAGGGCTCGGGACCACCTCTAGAAACTGTAATTTTCGGAGAATTTATTGTAGAGGTAAAGGAGCAGAAGATGCAGAGGCCAAACCGGTCATCGAAAAGAGCAGGGGAGGTGGCGGTAATGGCGATAATGGAGGTTTCAATGGGGGGAATGGGGATGAATCGGAGGAAAAGGGGAAGCTGCAGTTGCCTGAATGGATTAATTTGACCTCTGAAGATGCAAAAACAGTGATAGCTGCGCTTGCTGTATCTTTGGCTTTTAGGTCCTTCATTGCAGAGCCTCGATATATTCCTTCTTTGTCTATGTACCCTACCTTTGATGTCGGTGACCGAATTGTTGCAGAAAAGGTATTCTCTCTCTCTAGGGTAATGCAACCATCTCTCTCTAGGGTGATTTCTTTGTATATATATATTTATATAAGCACGTCTTACTCTTTCATGAATTGATTGTTCTATAACTCTATGTTGAGGCTTTCTTAAAGGTGCTTTGATAATAGGCAATTGTTGATGAATGTAGTATGGTCCATTATCTATGTTACACAGAAATCTGTAGTGTGTCAGTATCTGATATAATGTACAGGTGTATGAAATGTTAATCTCATAATTATTCTTTAGACACCATGAAAATGTTTTTTTTTTTTTTTAATAATGTTGATGTTAGGCACCATGAAAATGTTAAAAAGGAATGTCTCAGTTTCCAAAGTGTTGGATATGGATGCTGCGTCCTTCTTGCATCACAATGCACAAAAAGTCATAGACATAGTTCAATATGATTACGAAAATTGTTTTTTGATATTTCTTTCTTTACCTCAGTAAGAAGATCCATCTTTAACTATGAAATTGGATTACAAAAATTGTTGAAGAAGTTTAAGGTTAATAACCAATTAAGGACTCCATATGAACTTTATCAGAGAATTTACTGTTAAGAAAACCTATTTCTTTTTTAAAAAAAGAAACCTGCCTTCTTGGGTGGAAATTGAATAAGATAACAATATTCAATTATGATCCTATATAAAGTTTTTTTTTCTCATCCTAAAACTTTCTGAATTGATACACACCCAAGGACATAACATATCTTGCGTTACTGGTTGAACCATCTCTCCTTTCTATCGAGGATTGGTTTTTTTCACGTTATCCTATTACGTTATGTAGTCATAACAGTCTCTCTACACTCCACCGCAAAGATGTTATGGTTTGGGTGATGTACGACATTATAGCCAAGGTTCTTTGGAAGTTTTTTTAGTGATGGATAATATATTATAATCCAATGGAGTTGTTTTTATTGATGGACAATATATTATAATCCAATGGACTATAATGGGGTTAGGGCATCTGTGGTTACAGAGTTTGATGCCCCAACATAACGTCCCACCCTCCAATCCGACCATTAACATATCCAATGGACTATATGTAAACCATTGCCAAATTGGGTTATCGCCATCCATTGAATTTGAAATGATGAACAGTGGTAGTGAGTTAAGTCTGACCCTCCAGAAGAGGGCATGATCTAAATGGTAGTCCCAATCTTTCTCTATACACCGTCCATGATTCTTTCTTCAATTTAACAAAATGTTGTTCCTGTTAAATAACTCCTTTGACTAATTATCAGGAAGGTATGAAAATTAAATCAAAATGAAGACCTTCCCAAGACTATAGAGGATCTGAAAGAGAGTGGGAAGAAATGTTAACCTATCCTGACCTGAGTCTAAGCTAAGGAATGTCAATCTTCATGCCTTTAGTCTGGTCTTTCCCAGGCCAGAAACTCTTATGGATGTGTTCGATTCGATGGGAGATATACAAAGCATGCGTAAATAAACCAAGGATCTCTGGAAACCAAGTTCTCTGAAATGGGCGGACAGATGTTATTGATTCTGTACATTCATGAACTCGAGCAGTATTGGTGATAGTTTGTTCCTTTTTTTGGTTGTCCATGCAAACAATGAATAGTTAGAATACTCTAATGGAAATGGCTTGGTGGATTCATATTCGAAAAAAAAGAAAAGAAATTGAATACTCTAAAGGAAATGGCTAGGTGGATTCATATTCGAAAAGAAAGAAAAGAAATGGATAGGTGGATTGAAACTTGAGATACTTTGATGTTCATTGGTTGTCCTTGGTGGTTAATACAAAAGATGTTTTTTTAAGGTACCCAGTGATTTGGTGAAATTTGAGAAAAAAAAAATTGATAATGTTCATGACATTACTTTCATTGTATTATCTGAATCTCTAACATACGTCTATGATATTATTTTAGGTTTCATACTATTTCAGAAAGCCATGTGTCAAAGATATCGTAATCTTCAAAAGTCCTCCAGTTCTGCAGGTGGATAAAAAAAAGTGTATTTATTTAGTTATTTTTATGTATTTGTGTATGCCATTGCCTGCATTGGTTCTTACTTCTTAGTTTTGGATTGTCTATACTTTGCAGGAAGTGGGATATACAGATGGGGATGTATTTATCAAACGAGTTGTTGCCAAGGAAGGGGATACTGTGGAGGTTTGTATATCAAAAACAACAGTATTAATGTTTGGGATTTTAGTGCATCTGATATGGGAGACCTACTAACAACCAATTAAATTAGAACAAGTTTCTCTTTTTTATCTCCTATGATTAATTACTTCTACTGTTGAATAGAAGTGCTCCAACTAGTTTATCACATAATAGGGGTTAGTAAGGAGCGAAAGAATCCACCATACTCATGCCTCGATACCTATGTGCTTAATCATTGACGGCCATAGGTGGCTTCACTGTCGACATACCTTTCTCTGCCTTTTGGCTAAGATCAAGTTTAGTGTATCTCCTCAAAAATATATGCAGTACTTGATAGCCTACTTAATTAGATTGTCAAGTGACATATTATCGTAAAACTTGACCAATTTATGGTCTGTTTATATTGTTGCAGGTTCATGGTGGAAAGCTTATAATTAATGGAGTAGAGCAAAGTGAAGATTTCATTCTTGAGCCACCTGCTTATGACATGAGCCCAGTAGTATGCTTTCATCAAATTTTCCATGAAATAACTCTGTTACTAAAGTTCCTTTTTAGGGATACAATATGGAAAGAGCTTTGAAACTACTGCTTACCTTGTATCATTCCCACATAGAAAAGCCCATTCTGATTGTAGCTATTGGGGAAAGGTGAAAAAAAAAAAAATTGTTTATATCCACATCAGCTTTTCACTGCATGGGATAAACAAGTGCTTGATTGCTTATATACTTTTTTTATTTTTTTCCCTCGTACAACTATGTGTTTACAAACTAATCATCTGCTCTAAATCTCCTATGCAGCATGTACCAGACAACTCTGTTTTTGTAATGGGAGATAATCGAAACAACAGCTATGATTCACATATATGGTAAACATAGAATCAGCCCCTACATATCTTAAGCAGTATCCTCCACTGTTGTTTACTCTCCATATCTATGTCATTTTGCAATTCTTTTATTGCTTTATTACAGGTTTTAACTGATCATCTTTTCGCAAGGTTTCACACACAGAAAATTTAGAAAACACTTTGAAGAGTGTGTATATTTTGTATCAGAATACCAAAGTTTCAGAAGAATTGCTCCTTTCAGTATTTATAAGCTGGATATTCTTGGAACATTTGTGCAAAAACTCCAAGATGCAAGATATCATATATATTGAAATTACTATAAATGCAAAGCGAAAATTTTTAAAATATGCAACTCTTCCATGGTTTTCCGCATTTTATTTCAATTGCTCCTTCCAGAGGAGCTCTGTTTCATAGCTATACAAATTACTACAAATGTTCCCATACTAACTTTTTTTAAAACCTTTTTTGTGAGGAAAAAGAAACAAGTCCATTCTGAAGATGATGCTTTTCAGTTTGATTGTTATGTTAGATGTCGATTTCTCTTTGATTCAGGAGTTTGTCATATATGGGTATTTTTTGATCACATACGTTTTAAAATGTGCTATGCCTCAGGGGGCCTCTTCCCTCAAAAAACATATTAGGCCGATCGGTTTTTAGGTATTGGCCACCTGCAAGATTTGGTAGCACAGTTCGTGAAGAAAGCTGCTCGGACAAGAAACAAGAAAGCACTGTAGCCTCATAGCATTGAGCCACATAATTTTCATAGACAAGAAAAAGAAGTGGTTTATAGCAGCATTTTCGCTGGAAAGGAACTGTCTTGCTGAAGATAGACCTCAAAAGTTCTAGAAATACTGGAACTTTTTGGACTTCAAGAGATCGGTAACGGTCACCATTCTTATAATTTATAGAGAAATGAGAATCAGTTACTATATCCATTGAATTGGTCCCCAAGTAATTTAATTGGGTCTATGAGCTTGGAGACCCATTGTATCTTTGTATCTTTTTTGTTTTTTGTATCAGTAGATTTTTGAAGTTTTAGAGGAGCTTGAATAAGATTTTGACCACAATTTTGAGAGAGAGATGCCTTGTTTCCAGGATCCTATAAGTGAGATTGGCCTTGTTTTAAGAAACCACAAGTCAAGTGCCCATATTTCAATGGCTTATTTAATATTGTAGCCCATAATGTTACCACTTGGATGAGATATAATCTGTTTTACAAGTAAGGGATGCCTGATAGGTCCATAGTGAGCAATCATCCTTTAATTTGTAGGTTGTAGGGTCATATTTTCCCCCAAAACTAATGCAATGAACACTCACCAAAAGAACAAGGTTGACAAATAATACAAGAAAGAATGCCCTTTTAATTAAGGCTGTGGTTTGTATAAGGCTGATGCCCTAAACGATCAATGTAAGGCACACCTTGAAATACATCTAAAAATGTTAATTCAGTATTAAAAATCTTTATGATGGCCTGAAAATTTATTTTCATCTCTATTTATAAAATTTAAAGCTTCAAAAATAGTGTGAATTGAACATATCTATGAGCATTTGATTATTTGGAAAATTGATGTTCTAGATATGTTCATACATTTTGAGATCAAGATGATTGATCTTTTATTTTCGGGCATTGAATTGACCTTTTCTAGTGAATCTTTGAGATGCGCTTTAATTTGATTGATTAGGGCCTCACCCTTGTAAAAAATTTTCACTTTAACTAAATGACCTCAGAACATTTCTCGAGCAAATAGGCTAAGACTAGAAGAAATAAAAGCCACTCAAATTCAGAGGAATGAGTTTGACATAAATATAAATTAAACCTTTTATAATCATCAAGATTCCATATCGGAGGAACACATTTCCTTAACATGCCAAGGTGCAAAAGAACTCGGAAAATTTGACTCGGTAATTACAATACAATTATCCGCAACTCTGATCTATTATCGTCAGCATAATTTCTTCATTCTTATGTCCATTTTTCAGGGAAATTGGGGTGATCTGAAAGCTGCAAGCTTTATAATTCATCCTTTGTTGCTTGAACTGGAGCTGAATTTTCGCTACCTTCCCCAGCTTTCATTCTTTTGTTTATAAATGACGCCCAATCTTTTGAGCTTGATTTAGTGGAGAGTTTGATCTGTGCAACCAGTGGGATTCAATCATACAAGAAGAATGGAAGTAATAAAATTTCAGATTTTATTCTCTTTTCCTTTCGATTGGTGACGTTGAAACTTACCGGATTCATTTTATCACCAGAAGGGTAAAACAAGAGAGTTGGGTAATCATCTATCTGCAAGAAATAATCAGTCAAAGAATATTATCTCTTTCTTTCTTGACCTCATAATAATTTATAAATAACAATAATAGTAATGATAACCACAGTAGTAGTTATAACTATTACTATGATGGTCACTGTTGCCATTGTATTCTTCATCAAAATCAAGTGAATTTTCGAGAAGCTATTCATCAAATGAGTATCAGGTCAATCCAGATAATCTTTATTATTTTTTAAAAAAAGATGATGTGAACTTTAATATGAACCAAGTAAGGTATTTTGATCAATTTTTTGAGAACCCAAAGGTCGTGAGATTGTAGCAAAAAGATCAACTTTGGTTCGGAATGATCCTAGTAAAGCTTAGATGTTTCCAATCGTAAGACTGGAGCGGACCAGCTGCTATGACCCGTTGGTCTAAGAACTGCTCCGCTCTGATCCCGGAATAGGAAATCAGTCAAACCAGTATGAGCCGACCAGTTCAACCAGTTGGACTGACTGGGTCCAACAGTTGTTGACTGCTCCAGACCAATTTTTTATATTCATTAAGTTTCTTATTTATATTTTCCAAACCAGTCTGACAGGTGAACTGTGTGGCCCATCGGTTTCAACCTGATTAGTGCTGTCACCAGTTTGATGACTGGTCTGCTTTTGATAACATTGAATAGTTCTGTTTATTGTTACCTAAACAACCAACTACTTTAATGCAATACCTGCAATTTTGGATGTTCATTTGCAGAAGCATCTATCCTTGCAAAGAGAAGCTTGTCTTGTAATCTTTTGAAGTGCTTTGCCAGCTTCTCAATTTTCTTGCTTGTCGCCTCACAGTTTGCACACCAAGGTGTATACACCTTCCATTATCCCATGGCCAAAAATAAGTTAACATGCATGGTGCACACACACACGCACAGAGAGAGAGAGAGAGAGATTAGCACAATTGAACATTTCTGTATATGAGTACTGATATCTCTGTGTACACATAATGCCCACTGTTTTATGAGAGTTTAAAAAATCACAAGGAAACATGGGTAAGAGATCAACCTCTAACAGGACATTCTCAGTGCTGCTCAACACTATAGCATCAAATGTTTTCCCCACAACTTTTTGGATCAATTCCTCCTGCAAATTTGACAATAACACTGAAGTTAGCCACCATAGAATTGCATAATGAGAATCAATAGATGAAGGCGTAGTTGCTGTTTCAATTTTAAAAAATTGGTGAAAAGAAAGAAATTAAAAAGAGAGACTACTAAAATAAAATAAACGACAGAGAAGAAAGGGACTCACACTTCTTGGTACAGGAGGCTCTGATTTGAAGTAGGGTGGAAGAGTACTATTAACCAGCCCAAAGCAAAAGCCCTGCAAGAACTCGTAACAAACCAACTCTTAATACTCGAGAATTTGATCCAGGAATTATTCATACGTCAATGAAAATAAACTTTTAGGGAAAATACATATTTTTCTTTTGGTCTATTCATCAGTTATTTCACCGGTAACTCCAAAAAAGCTACTGTTACACAATACTAGTGAAAGTACTATTAGGGATATAAATATACTTTTAAGGGTTTGAATCTTTTGATATATGATAAACATCTCTTTTCACTAGGCAAAAAGAGTAGGTTAGCTTGGTTTGCCTTAATAGGAGACAAACTTCAAGGTCTGAACTTTTAACCTCTACGCTACAAACCAGAGGTGTGTGCCACCAGGCTAAAGCCTAAGGGAATATGATATACATAACCTGGTTACAGAAAAATAACCCTCATCTTTGCAAACTCAACTGTCTCCTACAAGTCCGCTACAACATGTTTACATATCATACTAAACATCGTGTCCCTGCAAATAACAGGAATACTTTGGAGGATGGAGGGTGGGAGAATACTTTTTTTATTTTTTTGTGGGGTGGCGGGGGGGGGGGGGGGGGGACCAAACTACACCTGCTGCCTCCAACTAGGGAGAGATAGGTGAGAAGGAGAGTTGGTTTAAGTCTCTTCACAAAACGTTCTCGGTTACTTTTTCTGTTTTTGAATCTCAAAGGCTAGCCTTTTCTGAAAACTTAAGGATATCTTGCAGATTTCGGAAGGGTGAGGTTTGCATAAGGTTGCAACTTTAAACAATCAAAGTAAGGCGCGCCTCTAAATTTTATCAAAAGATGCAATTTTGGTGTCGAAAATTTTTAGGATTATCTTCATCTCTAATTATAAAATTTTAAACTCCAAAAATGGTTCAAATCAAGCAAATCTAAATAAATGCATGAAAAATATTGAAAATGGAAGGTCCAGATAATGTGTTAAAAAATGTACTATTTTTGGGACTTGAAATCCCTTTTTTCTTTATATCTATATATCTCGATGTCAAGATGACCAATTAGATGGTTTTCCAACATCAAAATAGCCTTTTCTGATGGAATTAGTAACACCTTAATTCTACAATTTAAGGTGTCAACTTGATATAAACTTTTTCCCTTTCTAAAACCTAGTGCCTTTGGGGCACTCGTCTTTGAAAACAATGGCATGTTAGTAGTTTCCCTTGTTTCAATGAATAAAGAAAGTCCTACCAGAACTGTAGATGTTACCTCTAGGTTGCTTATGGTCAGATCTGACTCCAACACATATTTGGATCCTGTTCTATAATCAAAAGCCGTTGCCTGTAAAAACAATTGACAAGACAATTAAGATTAGCACACTCAACCACTGTAACTGTTCCATCAAAGTCGAATCTGATATTGTCTTGCAAAAGTACGTAAAATGGTGTAGTTAAAACCATTCACAATTAAACCCTGGCAAAACAAGATCATCTAAACACCTGCAATAAACAAGTGCAGGCTTGTCATCAAATGAGATGTGTTAAATATCCAGTATCCACTGTAAACTTACAATGGGTTCCTCCGGTTCGAGCCCAAATATTGTTAGGATGGGTTTTGCAAGGTCATCCTCAGATGAATCGACATAGATAAACATTATCTGCAGCCCAATAAAAAAGGATATGTATCACTTCATATCCCACAGGAAAATCACACATTACCTCACGACATTATAAACTCAAATATATCATAATCATGGTAGGACAAATACCTTTGACTTGAATTTTCTAGCAACATCCTGAAGAATCCCAAGGAGCTTCTTGAATTCACCAGGCTCGGCAAAGATAAAAACCTGGAGGAAAATGAGGTCACAATGAGATTTATAGTTAAGCCATTGATGCAATGGGTCTTTGTACACATGGTTAATCTTTGTGATTGGAGTCAAACATGTTATGTTACCCAGCAAGAGAACTAAGGAATTTGAGAATATGATAGTCTAATAACTGCAATTCTGGAATACATAAGCATACAGCTCTTGTCTTCTAGCAAAGAAAGTCCTTCCAACTATTCAGTGTTTGGACCATAATAAAGTTTTCCATTAATATTTGAAATAAGGGAATCATGTTACAAAGCAAAAGAACAAAAGAAACAGGATATGATCGTCTAATAACTGAAAATCTGCAAAACTGAGCATGTGCGTCTTGTCTTCCATGATAGTTGTAAGGTTCTTATAGTTAATAGGTGACCATAAAGCATATAATTTAAGAAGCTAGTCACAATATCAAGCACAGAAAGCCGATAACTGACTTATACAATTCTCAAGAGGAGTAAAACAACACCTGACGTTTAAAAGGACTCGAGTAAACTTTGGCAGAATTTAACTCAGTCATCACAGTGACCAATGGGAACTTGTTTGTCTCCACAAACTGCAATATTTTCTCCTCTTTGAACTCATCCTCTGCAAAACCCATAAAACAAGAAACGAAAAATGTCCATTAGTAGTTTAGTACAAATGATAATTTGGAGTACTAGATGCCAAGTCTTAACAAATATATAGTATGCAATAATCAACATGCTAACATCCTAAAATAAACTCTACTAATAAAATTTACAGCACCAACCACTGACAGATACAGTTGATCCTATTGCAGTAAAAGACAAACCACTATGCCAATAGACCCATTATTTTCATTTCCTTTTCTTTTTTCTTTTTTTCATTTTCCTTTCCATTATGATCCCTCTCTTATGGGCTTAAACATAGGAAAGTAGATCAGATGGGAAGGGAACAAAGTGACAGATGAAACGGCAAAACTTCTAGTTCAAAGTAGGCAAAACTTCTAGCTCCAAATTCAGGATGGAGTTTATTGACTCATGATACTAGTCATTTCACTGTATGTGAGACTAAGACACTCTTAGATTCTTATATCTGCATAAATACACAAACATATATACACACTCCATATATGATATGCCCCATGATCGGACATAATCATTTGTACACAAGCATAACTTGCAACTTGTCACCAGTAACCAATATGGGTCCAACCATCGCATATTTGAATGTGACACATGCAATTCATCCATAACTGAAGAACCTAATCTTAGTATATGACTTCCATATCACCCAATATGAATGCACTTACTAGAAAAATGTAATTATACGTCAGTGCATCCTAAAATAACAGGGTAACTTACCCAAACACCAAAGTCATGTTGCCCAAGGCCTAATTCATTATTATTACAATGGATACTCAGAAATGTGCCTGCATAATCCTAGGACAACATGCATTATTTATTACAGCAGATCTAACCAATGAAGAGTAGAATAGAATATGAATCGGTCATTTTCAAACTAATCTTGAAAAAATGCAAGTTCTCAAATAATAATTTCTATGGAGTATAAACACAAGTTTCCTACTGGACCCTTTCGTATAGAAAGCTCACATTTGCAAACTGTCCTAGTTTACAAGTTCTTGCTCATGATTCAACTTAGTCTTAATAAAACAAGTCCCTTTGCTCCCAAACTTCTAGGCCTAAAATACCACCACCTTCCATTACAGCCCACATGCGGGTAGGGCTATTTGGATAATTGCCAAAGGGAAACCTAAAGTGGGAGGTTAGGGATCTTCAAGGTACACTTGCTATTAGTCAATCACTAAATTACTCTTTCCTCAGCTATTACATACTAAATGCAATGTCCTTCCTTTTAGTACGTTTTCATGAAATGCCTGTTCTGCCAACTTGTTAGGACAATGGCTGAAACAAAGCTAGAACTATGTTTGAGAAAATATTTTACAATGAGTATCATGTTGGAACAATTGGCATACAGCAAGATATTCACTATCAAAGAACATTCTACTGGTTAAGCATCCCTACTTCAGATTTCAAACAGAAAAAGTGAAGTAATAGAATAAAGCATAAGTTCATAAAATTATGAAAAGAATTACTTTTAGATAGCACGGGCCAATAAGATACCAACACACTGACGAAATACCAAAAGGATTAAAAACTTAGAAGCAGAAACTCACCAAATGCAACATACTTCTCTGGTTCCCCTTTAACAAAGCCAAGAAAATGATTTCTGGATCCCATATCCGGGTACAGAACTTCGGCCACCTTGACATTGCTAGTTTCAACAAATTGGATTTCATTATCTGCAATGGCTGCTTTCACAAAATCCCCATGATCACTTCCCTAGAAATCATACACAAATCTTAAAACTGCAAAGAATAGATTTTTCCACAATTACTGTGAAATAGTAGATGAATTATCCTATGTCCACATGGTAGTACCATATGAGGAATCTCATATGTAAATATGCATAGATATAACTAAAATCATAACCAATATTATCACATGAACTAAAACTATCACATGACAAATACTAAGATCTTCAGGCACATGCCATGAGAACCTTGAGTAATGGTCTCATGAGAACAATGTGGCAATTATAGCTGTTCAAAATGTTGGAAGCTCTTCAAATGTTGGGAAAATTAAGAAAGAAAAGGCTAAAAAATCCCATTTTCCATGAGATAAGTAAACACATAGAAAACAATAGAAAATTAATGGATTTATATAGAGTATTATGGGAATTTTGAAGGTTCCTGATTAATGGGGAATTCATGCCAAAAGTACGTGGAATTCTGCATTATATCGGCACTTTAAATTCTTTTGGCAATAATGGTTTCTTTCCTATGCTCGAATGTCACGAGCAAACTTGGTTCTTATTTCTAAAGTTCAAGTCCCATACATTGTGATCCCAAGTCGCAATAAATATGATGGGTCCTGAAAATTATAGTGCTTGATTTTATTTATTGTTTTCAAGCTATATGAACTCATAACTATTTAATTATACACTTTGCAAACAATAATAGAAATTCACAGAAATTCGTCAGTAGTTCTCTCAAAGCAAAGTGCTAAACAAAGTTTCATACAACAATGAGAACACATTCGGTTTTTTATCACTAAACAATGAGAAAAAAAATTGTTTTCCATGCCATATAATTGGGGCAAATGACCATGTCACAGCACGCAACCTTCAAGAAACTAAGGCACAACAATGTCTTAAGTTTGGCAGCATAAGCATCAAACCGAAAAGGAAAAAAAAAATCAATTCCCAATTGAGAACTTTTCAACCCCAATCCCCCCACCTCCAAAAATAAAAATAAAATAAAATAAGATAATAGCTATACCTCTAAATCCTCAAATAAACCAACAAGGAACATCTGGTGTTTGGCAATGAATTCTTCAGCCTGAAGAACAGATGATATGTTGATAACTGGCATGCCTGTTCTCTTTCTAACCCAAATCACCATTTCCTCACTGCTTTCCAATTAAAAGGGAAAAATGTATAGCATGAGTCGGAGATTTATTTATTAATATGAACAGCCCAAACTTGAATTCCTAATCTATCATAAGAAAATAGAACTACAAAATCTTGCTTTTTACAATTGAGCACAGAGAGAGAGAGAGAGAGAATATCACCCACCTTGTGAACCCCCCATTATACAATTGAGCACTCCCATTGACAAAGAAGAGCAGGGTGGGAAAGCCCTTGATCCCCAAACTCGAAGCCACTTTTGTGTACCTTTCTGCATCAAGCTTCACAAAAACCACAGGATTCTCCATCTCTCTCATGGTGGTTGCAGCCAAAGAGAAATTGGGCATCAATTCTTGGCTCCTTCCACACCATGGGGCATAACCCAGAAGAAATACATACTCGTTACTATGAACTATTTCATGGGAATTATCATTGTTGAGCTCCATTACGATCTTTTGAGCTCTGCTAACTTTCTCAGGCCCTATTTCCTTTACCTCACTCTGCAACTCCTCTTCCGCTGCCAAAAGCTCTTCGAAGGTCTCAAGATCATTGTCGTATGAAGCATCTTCAGAGCCCATTGTGGAGGTGAAAGAGAATAGAGAAAGTATGAGGAACAAAAAGAAAGACATGAGAATTGGGGAATTAGGGCGAATAAAGAAGATGGGTTTTGAAGCCATGGCTGAACTTGTTGCAGGAGATCTGGACTGTGTGGTTCTATGTGCAAAGGTCAGAACTTTGGATGTGAGTGTAATAGTAGTTTAGAGAGAGAACGAATTGAGAGGTTAAAAAATCCGTCCAGGGGAGAGAGAGAGAGCTTGTTGCAATTCGAAAATGGGTCAAAAAGAAGTTTAGAAAGAGAATGATTGATGGGAAGAGAGA